CCATCAATTTCAACTTTATATCACCATTTTAATAATACCATTTTATAATTGCGATCTCGCTCGCTTACACATTTGCAAAAGCAAAAAGTGTTTAATGAATTACCGCGCGTAGCTATAAAGTACACAAGTACAAGCATTCCCGTGGTGACCATTAGGTTTTTGGTATCGATGTATCAGTCTCTGAAGAATTTATCCTTCTAGGAAAACGTTAATTGATAATATTCTTTTCTCAAACATGTCTTTTATAACTTTACTTACGGTAAAGTTTCCATCCATTCTATACTTCATTAAATCCTCGTGCACTTTAAAAGACGTCTGAAAATTACGATTAATTTCATTGATCCGACGTCATAATTATCAATTGTTTACAAACGACTGCTAGCGTCAAGACTGTCGACAATTTTTCTTTCATCCTTTTATCTTTCTCGGTCCCTGCCCCTGCCCCTGTCCCTGTCACCCTAGCCATGCCTCATCCCCCACCCACCGTCCATCACCCCAGTAAAATCATAAATTGTTATCGATAAGCACTTATCGCACTTAATGCAAAGAGTTCGAAAGATCGATAAGTCTTTGATAATAGAATCGCTGCATTAGTGCGCAAATAAGGCGTTAAAAGAGCTTGAAAGATCATTCGTCGTTCGTCCGTGGACTATCAAAATGACCATCGACTCCGCTCGTTTATTCCCAAGACAATCAATCCGTCTATCGTCCGTTTAATACAATCTCCGAACACTTGTTGCCGATGTAAACACGAGATCACCGCCGCGCATTGCCGTTTATCGTACGAACGTATGAAAATAAGATAAAAATCATGATCTATAAAAAGCCTCGTCACATGTGTTTATCGATAGTTGATATAAAAGGATTATTCGACAATCGGTATGAAGAATCTTTCTTCACCTTTGGCAAAATCTCGTAAGATGTCGCTTCGAGGTTTCGGCCGTTGAGACCAATATGACACCTTCTCGTTTGAAAACTTTGCTTAAAACAAAAAATTATTATTATTGCCAATGATGACTTGTGGCCGATATATATATATATATATATATATATATATATATATATATATATATCACAGCCACGCAAAGGCAACGATATTTAAAGAAAAATTTTTTCTACCACGATGTTATATCGATCCAATCTCATTTATTTCGTTTTGATGTTGCCACTTGTTTTGATAGTTTGACCTTTGATGTGAAAATGATTTGTACAATTGATTACGATTAATATTAACATAACGCTAATGCTAAAGTTCTAAAAATGGAGAGTAAGTAAATTACAATAAACAATCGATCGACTATCTGTATATTTTTTATTTGTTTATTTAAAATGGCAGTCTTCATTTTTTCAATATCAAAAAAAAAAAAAAAAAAATTATCATCGAATTATAAACTTATAGTTTATTGTTATTGGTACATTAATTTATGAAAATTCGAAATTATTGTTTATTAACATTAGCACGTATGTTTCATACAAATTGTAGTAGTAAATCAGCATATAAACGATTACTATTGTATATAAGAAAATACATAAAAAAAAAATGATATAATTATCAATGTATTTGGAATAATAATAATATTTAGTAATGTTAATAGAGAATTACTTGAGCTAATTATAGGATGATAATGTTCCAGAAGCACGTGGGTTTGGATTGTATTTTTGTCAAGTATGGTTTATTTTTTTTTTTTTTTTTTTTTTTTTTTAAATATGGTTTTTTTTTTTTTTTTTTTTTTTTTTTTTTTAAATTAATGTCTTATCTTGAATTATAGAGATAAAACTTTGCATGTTTATTGCTCCTTAGACGCGCGAGATAAATGTACATTTGGCCAGGATAAAGAACAAAAGTCATAAAAGGTGGACGAGCCTTTAAAGGCGAAACGTTGACCATTTATGTCAAGCATTTAATTTCATCAAAATTTCTCGAAATTGGAATAGACAGTGAAAGAAAGCACAATATGATATTTCAATTTTTCCAAATACACAATCGCCATTACTGGAAAAATATTGTAAATTTTAAATGTTAATATGAAAAACTTGACGAGACAATATTATGATGGTATGGTAAACCAGATTCTCAAGACTCGAATAATTACAAATTCGTAAAATATATGATTTTCATGATTTGCAATATAAGGAGCGAGCATTATCACAAAATCTGGCAGCATAAAATGATGTTTTCCTTAGACTTTTAATTCGAGTTTGATAATATATAATTTGAGCGATTAGAATATGGGCTTTGAGTAAGCAGAGATCGCCGTTTTTAAAAATTACTTCCAGGAACGTTGAAAAGCTTGTTTGTTGCTCGATGTAATAGTGTATTCCGGGTACAATTAAAAATTGAATTACGTCATGGAGCGATTACCATCGTAATGTATTTAACTTCTCCGGTGCTTTTACCTCACTCGAAACAGCATTATATCCTCGCACTTTTTATAAACGTAAATTACTACAGATTTATCGCGGGAATCACACATCGAGTGAGAGTGAGAGTGAGAATGAGAGTGAGAGAGAGAGAGAGAGAGAGAGAGAACAATTTTTTTTTTTTTTTTTTTTTTTTTATTACAACTCGAAGAAACAATCACAACGTAGATAGCGACAATGGATAATTTAACATTATTATTAATATCTTTATGCCAATTTCAAAAAATTTTATGAAAAAAAAAAAACATTAGAATTATTTCCTTTATAATTAAACGAATAAATCTGTAAACATTTTTCATTATCTATACACTTCAATAGCAAATAAACGTTTGTTTTTAAATAATTCCATTTATTATTACCGACTCGTCATTGCATTTAAAGCAAACATTCAATAATAACAATTTTTGAAATTTTGCTTACAAACTCTTTCTGGATTAGCAAAGCATTTCTCTGCATTATATTTACATCTTTTCTACGTATTAAAATTTCCTTTCCGAGAAAATATGTGATGCCAATCTTTTTGGCATTATCGCATCAAATCTAGGAATAGTTTTTTTTGACTCGCTTAGTTAAATTATTATTCTCTGCTCTATTTAAACACTAATAACATGTTCAGATTTAATATACTCAAAAAAGCAAAACGAGCAAACAAAAACAAAAAAAAAAAACAAAAAAAAAAAAAATAAAACAAAAAAAATCTCACACACACATATTTTGAATTATTGTTAGATTCATCGCGCTCTTAATGAAAATTAAAAGTAGTTTGAATGTTTCTAAAATTTGTCAGATCGTGCATTGCGCGCTTTTTTCAATGTATGAATATGTCCACTAATTTTTTGTTTAAAACGGTAAAGCCGTGTAATCTATGAATTTAGACCAGAAACTGTTATTCTTTCAACAAAATTCGTGATCGGAATACTAACATCAACCGGTTAAAGTTATCTTTCACCACAAATTTGCTAATATTCCTTACATTGAATCAACGGTGAACCATAAACGAAATACCTTAAAAAAGAAACAGTGACGATTTCGAAATCTTTTCAAAAAATTATTAAACTGTCACCTTATCATTTATGAATTCTGTAGCCGAATCCAATGGAAACTGTTCTTACGTGTCAATGTCATTAGCGGTGAGGGCTCAGTCATATTAGTGTGACACGTGCTTGGTAAGACTTTCAAAAGAGCAAATAATTTCAAAAACTCTTCGTATACGTTATGCGTGAGCGAGCGAATACGTAATTACAGTTCGGTTCGTATTTATTTGTCTATTTTATCGTCTGATTCTGAATTCTAACGATCAAACAAAATCACAAGATAGTTCGAAATGGAAGCTTAATTGTAATCGATTGTACAACAATAAGGAACAAATAAATAATGTGAAAAGAGAACTTTTGCCTCTATTCTTGGATATATACAATTAACGATATATTTAAACATTTATTTATCAATTAGATGTATCGAATGCTTTGTTATCAATGCAGACTTTTTATAAAAATTAATAAATAACAAATCTATTAGCATTTAAATAGCCGAGAGTAGCTGGGAAAAATTCTATAATATAATATATATATATGAATAGTAGAGGAGGTATGTCCTGGAAATTTAATTTGTTCCATGAGTTCCATGTACGATAAAATAATTTATTTATGATATTTATATGATATTTATTAATTTTTTTTCTAGGTCGTATAATAAAGATTTAAAATTGTATAATACATTATATTAGGAATTAATTTTTCGGACTCAAGAGTATTTCAAACAAATGTCTCAATTACCATTATCCTTGGAACATAAAATTTGATTCTTTTACATAAGTAGTATTTCTCTAAATAATATTCTTTTGTATTAGTAATATTTTATAATCGCTTACTATAATATAAAATTATATACGCATTGCAGGTTTACTTTTGCATAAATCATTTAATGAGCATGACACGCGAGCGCGCACAAACACACACAGACGCACGCACGCACACACACACACACACCCACACACGCATATAAACATATTTTTGTGGTCTTTAAAAAACAATTTTTATAAAATTTGTATTTAAGGGAAAAGTTTATAAATTCCTCATTTAAATTTAAACAATTTATATTATTTACAAAAATAATACGACAAATCGAGCGGAATAGTCGAAGGACAACTATTGGCACTAATTTTATAATTATTATAATATTATAAGACAACATCGACTTTGTTCATTTTTGACATTTATCAATCGTATGACGGAAAATAGAAATGCAAATTGTAATCCATTCTTATGCAATATTAATACAAGTTTTCGTAATAAGTTGATAAAAATTAAATAATCACTATTTACAGTTTTCCTGATATTTGCTGGTTCGATGCAATAAACAATTCATAAAACTCATTTCCTTAAGCGTTATTACATGCCTCAACGATTAATTCTATATATATATGAACAATACAACATTATGTGTGTTAAATCGCGATAAATCGATGCTTTATATACAGTATGATAGGTTAAAGTCTAAATGAGGTTTGCGAAAAACCATATATGGCTTTAGGGAAGTAATGGATCACCATGTGCGTCCAGTTGGGAAAACGTATTTATTTATTCGTCTCCGCCAATATATGACAATTGATAATTGAGGGGCTCGTGGACCGTAGGTACGGGATCAGTCGTCGAATGCGTCGTAGACGGCGTCGGCGAGCTCGTCGACAAACTCCTCGACAGGATTGGCCTTGGTCTTGGCTTTGGTCTTGGCCTTGGGCCGAGCGCTTCTGATGAACTCCTGGGGTATGATCTGCTGGTGGCTGCTCGGCCCGGGGAAGACAACAAGGCCGCCCGAGGTCGCAGCCCCGTTTACCGAGGCGCCGTTAATCGTGGAGCCGGTGACACGGCTTCCGGATGATCCGGCGCTCGCCGAGCCGGAGCTTGAGCCGCCCGGTCGCGAGTTCGCGGCGATGCTCGCCGAATTGAGGCTGGCCTGGAGGCCATTCTCGAGCTGCTGTACCGAGCTCGAAGCACCCTGGGCGTGAGCCGCGGCATTGCCCGACGACTGCACCTCGTTCGACGTGGAGCTCGATGGACCGCCCTGACTATACGACAAAATCATGAGGCCATTAATCATTGGAAGTCCACTATCGCTTGACTCTTAATTTTTATTCACGACTTCTGTCCCTTACACACACACACACGCGCGCACACACGCACATTATGCCCATTTATGAATAATGCTACGTTACAATTGTTGAAATAGTGTAAAAATAATTTTGCTTCCATTGATAAAAATAACGATTATAATGCATATTTAACTGACAGTTAAAGATATAATTTAGCGAGCGATTACAGACGTAGCGAATCATTAATTATGTAATTGTAGTTACATTCAAATTGGCAATAATCATTATCCATAGTAAGTATTATATTTCGAATGACCAAAAGTTACGAATAGATTGTCGTCGTAAAAAGTCGATCGATTATTACGATCCTGATAATTCAGAATCGGCATGATAAATAATGTTTTAGAGAAGCGCAAATTACTGCTTCAATGAGATAAAAAATTTGCTATCGTTCAATTATAATAGTCAAGTCGTCGAGTATCGTCAACTATTGACAATGAATTACATTATCGAGTGAATCATACTCGATGAATCATATTATTGCCAATTTGAGTATTTGAACGATTTATTCGTAAAATGTAAGTGTATTTTTTAATCGATAATTTAAACAGAGCAATTACCGTGATGATTTGATTGAAATTTGATTGTATTTCAAAATGCCAATTACATATTCCAATTAGTATTCGCGTAGATAATTTTGTGTGCGTCCGCGTGAAAGTTGTATTTAGTGAAAGATTTACCTTGTAAAACTAAAAACATTTTAATTTACAAAATCCATTCTATACGATATACATGTAATGGAAATTGTTCGATTTTTGTTTTTGTTTTTTTTTTGTTTTTTGTTTTTGTTTTTTTTTTTGTTTTTTGCTCTTTGTTTGCAATTCTATAAAATATAATATGGGTAATAATTAAATATAAGCGACAAAATTGGAGGAGCGATTATCGCGAAAAATTATCAAAAGTATAATCGACGTTTCGTGTGTGCAAATGGTTTTATAAATTTTTCGCAAAGAGCCCATTAATGTAAAGTCTCTTAGATTTTTCCGGTCCATAAATTTTTATTAATAATATAGAGTGTGCGTGAGCCTGGGCACGAAGGTGGTCCGTAGCCTTCAACACACGAGCACCATTTGTTTTACGACATGACTCAAGTACACACTATTCGGCAAGTTTTAGTAACGTAATAACATATTCATTGCCACAGAGGATAAAGCAAATACGCTCTTTCTACATTTAATCTTTGAATTTTGTTTGAAATTGCGCAAACCGTGCGTTTATTAAATAAATCTCGCGTTGCCCAATGCATAGAGCCGAGTTTGGCGCGATACGTCGATTACAACTCCACGGACGTTAAAGCGAATATAGGAGAAATTTTACTCCTTGTGCAATGCTAATAGTGCTCGTTAATCTAGTGACGTCCGATGCCCCCCCCCCCCTCCATCCACGCCCACCCATCCCACTAAGCATCCCAAGTTTTTGTCACGATTTATTTTCGACGAGAAGCTACCTTTGATGGGCCTGGGACGCTGATTGTCCATGAGCGAAACCTCCGGATCCAGACTGGGCGGAGGATGTGGCGGTCGCGGTCGCGGTCGAGTAGTGGACATTGGAGGCCTCCTGGCGCGGATCCCTCAGCCTGTCGTAGTAGGGCCCGTGATCGTAGACGGGTCTGTATACGGGCCTGCTAATTTTAACTCTGGGACTGCGACAGCGCGGGTCCCTGTACCAGCCGCCATAGTAATTGCAGTAGTCAGGTTGCCTCCAGGAGTCGTATTGGTCGCGGGAATTGTACCAGCCGTTACCAGGACGATCGTTCACGCTTATCGTCAGGGTGGGCATTCGACGCGAGTTGTAGTAGTAGTAATCATCTAATGGATAAGGAGACAGGTGTCATTAGGGTTAAGTCGCGTTGGGGAGAAATTTTGCTCGTTTTGTCAAACCATGACGTTATAGAGTGCGATCCGAGGGATGATGTTTGGAAATTCGTAGACTGCTGTTTTATCGATTATAGCGGTCTTACGTATTTAAGGATACCAGCTCGACGTACCAGCTCAATATATTCAAGGATCAATTGGACTAAATGTACGCGTAAATGAAAAGTCGTGGCTGAGATATTCGCCGACGGTCCTTTGATATTAACGAATTTAAAATATCATGAATGCGCCCGTCAAGTTTTTAGCCCCGGATGTGTGATAAGTAGTTTGAACATCAAAGAGAAACAAAAGAACAATGATAGCAATATAAAGTAGGTTAGCCATACATTGAGATCAACTAATTGTTCTCTATACTAATTCCGTGCTTTTAGATAAGATAGTTTTACATTTATATTTGCTTTGTTTATATGGTCTTTTTGGAAGAGTGACAAAGTTATTTTACATAGTTCTTAATTTTGCATTCAAAGGTGAATAAAGAATAAAAATTTTTGGCAAACTTTGCTCGATATCGGATTTATGCTAAGCAAATATAGTAGTTAGATAATTATGTATTGATAAGGTTTACTTAGATATGATAAATTTTCCAAGAATATAAAAAAAAAGATAAATAAATATAAAATACGAAAAATATTTCAGGTTCATATTTCAGATAATAGGCAATTCATTTTATGCAATTATTACATTTTTTTCTTTGTTGTTGTTGTTGTTGTTGTTGTTTTTTTTTTTATTTTTTTTTATTATTAAAAGCTCGATATGAATCATAGTGATTCGAACACTGTAATTGAAAGAAGAGAAGGAAAATTTTGTGTTAGAATTGTTTGGGTTTTTTTTTTTATATTTATTTGTAAGCACTCAATGTATGCACAACCTTGGCAATAATACAAAAAAAAAAAAAAAAAAAATTGACTAAAATTGAGTAGGAATAATATTTCAATAGACTCTCTTCTCTTGTTATCCGATAAAAAATTTTTAAGTATAATCTAGTAAGGATAAGAATTTTTCATCGACATTCAATAAATGCGTTTGTTCGTTTCTCAAAACGATAAAGTTGGATTCTCTTACTTTACCAAAGATATTTAAATGCACAATTACGAAATTATTATTATTTTCAAAATACCATGTTCACTACAAGACGATTGTTACACGTAATAATAGCCGAGAGCGATCGCATCAAACTAGTAATTTCACGTGTCTAGATCGAAGGCGATTGCAGCTACACTTGGATAATTGTTAATTGACCTTTGTTCCGCATATTAAGAAATTTCAATTATTAGCGGCCATGTAGAGGCATCGAGGGAATATAAATATTAACAATAACGCCAGGTATTGATAACTTCCTTTCCTTATCTACTACCGGATGAAAAACACGAAAAACGCGAAACTCACCGTCATAATCGCTTGCGTAGCCCGGGCGCCGATTCGACCATCCGGGCCTCGAAGACCCCAAGTGGATGAGGTTCTGAGCGTTGGAGGATGCCTCGCTCTCGATCCCGTCTATAGCCGATTGCGCCCCGGAAGAAGCCTGTCCGTTGACCCCGTGAGCATTGGCCGAGGCGCTGCCCTGGCCGACGGTGAAGGCGTTACCGTGTGCCTGGGACTGCGGCCCAAAGAGCGGATCGTTCGAGGCGAAGGAGTTGGAGTTCGAGGCCGAGAGGCCGCCAAGCCCTGCTGCTATCGACGACGATTGACTCGCCGAGAACGAGCTGCAACAAAGCCCGAGAGATGCTCCTTACTATCCATCAAGGTCGACGTGATTTTCGCGTCACACTCCCTCCCGATTTTTATTTACTCCCGAGGCTGGGCACTCGGAAAGTCCTAGTTAGCGCGAACTGGAAAAGGGCTCGCTTGGATACGGGTAATGTTGGTGGTGTTGGTGGTGTCAGTGGTGGAGGCATTGCCCTTGAAGGACGAGGCGCGTTTTCTCGCGCATTGTTCCGTTGCCGATCAGCTTCGTCGCTCGTTAATTTCGAAATAAGATCGCCCTGAAATCGAATGCCTCTTGCACGTTTCACGACCAAATTACTTTAAGAGAAAGCGAAGCTCATGTCAATGCACCCGAGGTAAAGCCACCAGAGTCCTTATTTAATAATTCTTTCGAAATGCAAGTGCATAAATCAGGAGATCCGATAACGCTTTTCTCGCCGTTATTACTATTTACAATATGATTTTGTATTCTACTTTTGAGATTTATAACAATGTTGAAGTACCACGTGTAAATCATGCAATTTTATGTGGATCGTCGTTATTTTCTTACTTTATATCCACTTTGTTTACTTATTCGACTAACTCACAATATCACTTTTCAATTGCTTATAATTTATTCATTATTCTGTGGAAATATATTTTCACGTATCTCAAATCAATTTAATATTTCTATTTATTGTTTAACAAAATATTTATATACGAAGAATATTATAAGTATAATGGCAAAGGATATAAAGGAAAATTGAAACTTTATAACTTTACTAAATCGAGTGATTTATTATTTTACCTGAGCAGCAATGAACATTTTTACAATTTTCCTCTACAATTGGAGTGGAAATTTTCCTTTTGT